TTTGAAAAAAATAGCTGTCAAACGAGGTCATAACAATCATCACTTAATAAATTTGATTGCAATTAAGCCCTTGTTTGATACCTGTTTTTCTCAAAATACATTTTTTTCTCTTCTTTTCAACCACACATTTTTCAATAAAATAATATTACACGCAAAACTAAAATTTCTTTTTAATTCTTAACCACACATTCTTTATCAATTAATTATTTCAAAATGCATTCTTACTAAAACAGGGAAACAAACAAGGGCTAATTTTTAAATTTTTATTAGGTCCCACTTCTAATATCAATAGAAAATGAGATAACAAAAATGACAAAAGTATTAACAGTTGATAGGATTAAATATTTTTACGGGATTTTAGTTTGTAGTTTTTTATTATAATAAATAAATGAGAAAATAAGTAAATTTTGTACAAAAAGATGTTTCAAGAAGAAGAAGAAGAAGCATATTTCACATTGTTAAACCAAAACCCTACCTCCGTTCAACTAAGGCTGGCTTCTAATCCCAAAACTCTCCCCACATCTAATATCAATAGAAAATGAGATAACAAAAATGACAAAAGTATTAATAGTTGAGACGATTAAATATTTTTCCGAGATTTTAGTTTATATTTTGTTATTATAATAAATAAATGAGAAAATAAGTAAATTTTGAACAAAGGGATGTTTCAAAAAAATTTAAATAAATAAAAAGCAAAAAATAAAATAAAATAAAATAAAAAATGAAGAAGAAGAAGAAGAAGCAGCATATTCCACCTTGTTAAACTAAAACCCTCCCCAGTCCCACATTTGTTTTTCCGTTCAACGACAATACTAAGGAGGGATATAAAAAAGGCTGACTTCTATTCCCAAAACTCTTCCCAATCCCACATCGGTTGCGAGTTCAACTTCCATACCTAAGATATAAAAAAGGGGCTTGAATCTATTATGTGACATTCATTTTTTAGGTCTTGTAGTCAAAGTTTTCAAATTTTTTATTCGAACATTTGTTTCGGCCTTAAAGCTTGTCCTAGCAATATAAGTTTTCATATTTTAGATAAGAAAGACTTAATGTTTAAACCATTAAAATCGGGTGCGGGTGGACCAGTTTTTACAGTTAGATCGCTAGTTGGTTGATTTTTTTTTTTTCAAATTTAAAAAATTCAGTTTCTAGGTATGAACCGTATCGATTTTTGTAACGGTTCAAGGTTTTTTCAGTTGGACTGGGCGGTCCAGTTCGATTTTGAAAACATTGCAACAAACTTAACGTGCGAAGGACATATATTTTGGAAGTTGAGGGATCAAGACAATAATATGCACTTTGAGTCAAAGAATATCCAAGGAAGACAAGTTTATGGAACGAGTAGGGTCGAAGCTATAGATAACATAGACATCCAAAAATTCTTAGTGTGGAGTAATTAGAAATAGTTTCAAATTTCTATTAATATGGAGAAGATAGATATAGGTGTTGGCATGCGATTTATTAGGTTTATTGCTGTACAAAATGTTGGAAAAATGGGTTGAGTGGAACCCAGTTGATTATTTTAGAAGTTCAAGATTGATTTGTATTCTTTTTCATGAGAATATCGAAATCATATATTTACTTGTCAAAAATGATGTTCGAGTGAACGAGAAATTAGAGCTCAAAGTGTGCCAATTGAAAGGGGTTTATATGTTGGAGGGAAATCAATTAAGGTTTGTCCCACGTAGAAAAATAATGAAGGCAAATGCCACCTTATAGGATTACATCTTGGAAGGGTGTGATCATGTGTAGCATAGAGGCTCTCTCTACGTACGATGAGCATAGGGGGCAATTCAGACCGAAATAGGCTTCGAACTTTAAAATGTTGGCCCCTTAGGAGAGTCTGTGTTTTGTGAAATTTTCCTCGAACTGACCTTTTAAATTTCAAAACTGTCGAAACTCCAATATTCATTGTCATTATAATACGAGTTAAAGACATTCATGGGGTTAAGCCTATATATGCAACCTGTTTTCTACTATTCCACACAAGAACAAGAAGGAACAATCCAATTTCTGCATAATTTTGGTCTGTATAGTTACACAGTTCCTTGTCCCGTTGGAATATTTTTTGTTGATTTGTTCTTACACAAGTTCTGTTTGCCTGAGTAGTATTTGAGGTGCTCAAATTCTACCATTCCTCCATTGTATCTTGGGAAGACAAAAGTTCGAATTAAACCTCAAACACCTACGGTGAGAGGGCGAATCTGTTTTAAGTTTGTTGGACTAAATATTTGTTAATTCGATATTCATTCATTAATATTTAGTCCAACAGCAAATGCATGTGCCTAATAAACTAGAGGAAGATAAGCATGAGATAGTAATGCTAGATCGGTTTTAACGACTTGGAGATGTCTTCTTTAAATCATTGTGCTCAGATGTATGTGGTGTTGTAGTAAGATTAGAAATACCATTGATTGAAGGAAAGTTAGCAGGAGAACTGTATTCACCATTGTTAAGAAATATAGAATTATTTATTATTTATTAAGGGTAGAATAGGCCTTTTTAGTTTCCTTTATTTAGTCTATATATATTCTCTTTGTATTTAGGTTAAACTATCTTTTTAGCATTCATTCAATTAATGAAACCCTAGCCTCCTCCTTTTTCTTTTATTTTCTTTGGATTGTTTAACAACCATTACCTGAGTAAAGAGTCTTGATGTTCTTGTTAAGATATTTTTTAACAATGGCTTTAAAACAAATGAACTCATCTTTAACTTCTGGTTTTTGTTTGATTGGATAAATCCATATGTATATTTTGTGAAGTGATCAATAAATTTGACATGGTATTTAAAACCATCATGTGAAACTATTGGTGAAGTCCAAACTTTGATGAATATAGTTTCAAGTGGATGAGAGGAGACAAGTGTTGATATGAAAAAGGATAATTGTGACTTCTATTATTGCTTCATGCATTACAAGATAAATCAGATGAAAAAGGGAACATAATCCTAGGTTATTACTGGAAACAATGTGCCTTAAAATAGAAATTGCAGGATGTCATTAGGAAGTTGTCATGCTGGAAAATGCGCTATGGTGAGGTTTTCGACCACTCATGTACTCCATTTTTTTTTTGCTTGGCCCCCGCAGAAGTGGTGTCCTCGTGCTAAGTTCCTTCACAAGAAAAGCAGATGAAAATAATTCAGTTGCAACATTATTAGAGGTGCAAAATTGAGAGATTGAAATTAGGTTCTATATCATGCTAGGGGCACAATGAACATTGTTTAATTTAAAAGTATGTTGAGAAGTTGTGAGAGATGAGAAATCAGTGTGAGTAATGGTGAGACCAGAGTCATCGACAATCATAATGTACATGGAGTTAGGGAGAAGAAGTTTGAAGACGGAGGATTTGGGTAAAAACAACGAGCATTGAGGTGGAGGTGGGAAAAAGATGAATAGTTTTATATATAATTTTTTATTTATATTATTGTAAAAATATAGATTTATAATTTTGCCCTTTTAATTTTGGTCAAAATGTCATCAAATTTATTTTTTGGGTTGACTAACGGTCAAATGGACAGATTCCGTCCGTATGACCTCCAACTGCAATCAAAATGAAAGGTTTAGGACTATGGATGTAAAAATTAAATATTTGAATTTAGTCTATAATAATTTGAAAGGCTTAGGACCTCATCTGTAATTCTTCCCTAACATATATTTACTTTGTAATCAAATCTGGTGCAAAAAATGGACAAATTTTTATGATGTGCATTAGTCGCATCTATTTCATGTATGTAATAATTATATTTTATACGCATACTTAGATCCTAAAATTACTTAGAAGATGATTAATTAAGCAAAATTTCTATCACTTACTATTTTATTTGATTTTTATAGGTTAAATCCCCAATTTGAAAATTGGTTAAACAAAAGGAAGTGGGTCGAAACATTGATTGAACAAAAAGCGAGTGTTCGATAAAAGTTGGAATATGGTGCTAATTATTATTAAGCCCCCGTTTGAACCACATTATTGTAAAAATGAGAATGAAAAATATAACCGTTATGAGTCCCACACAAGAGATAAAAAGTCAAATATGGTGACTTAATGTGATGGAACGGTTATATTTTTTATTTTAATGAGAAAATAATGGGGTTCAAACAAGGCATAAATAAAGGTTCAGACTTATTTTTCAATTAATCTATTTGTACAATGATTTTGTACAATATTGTTGACAATGGTGGGTGTGGAGACAAAGTATTGATTGAAAAGATGTGTTGTTTTTTAAACTGTTCAATAATAACATGTCATGTGACATATTGTCAACAAAGTTGTCAAATTCATTGTATATGAAGCATTGCTCCTTATTTTTACTATGGAATATGGACCTAGCCGCAGTTTATCTAATTATAATTAAGGGCATGTTGGTCTTTTTAATCAGAAGAGGACCAATTGCATTTGCACGCCAAAACAAATAGATTAGGAATGTCCATGCCAAGAAACAAACATCAAAAGACCATTTCCACACTGAAAATAAAGATTAGGAACCATTTGCGATAAACTTCGACAGTCTTTATTACATGCACAATTTTTATCCTTAATTACATCACTGGTCCATTCCAGTGAATCATCCTGAAAACCTTGCAACTCCGACATCCATAAATCGACTAGGTTAATCGATACATCATAATATCCAAAATTATCAGCGGTGTGGAGATAATGGCACGTCACTTATTTTGTTACACGAAAAAAAAAAATATTATCATGAAAAGTTTTTCTTGTCCTCTCCTACCTTTGTCTCTGTACATATTACGCGCACACGTATTCTTAAGCAAGCACACAATTTCCATATAAAACCATCAAATGCCCGATACTCTCTTTTCGTGAGTATTGGAAAGACCCGATTCCATTTTGATAAGGAAGGAATGTAGCTTTGCTAAAAGATATGGTGGAAGGAAAACAAGTGGCCCTTTGTCTTTTGGTGCAAAAGGAGATTCGAAGCGAGACATAACGCAAAGTGGAAGAATCCCACTTACTCTACTTGTATATATATGATCATTGTATTAGCAACCAGCAAAGCAATTCCCAATTTCATATTGCCTTTGTTCCAAATCAATGGCCTCCATGCAATGCCATAAAGACACCAACCATGTCCAATCTTCAACCCATAAGACCAACACCGAACACTCTTTCACCAATAAAGTGAAGGAGATGGCCGGGAAAATGTTTCCTCGCGACCAAAAAAATCGCTGCCAGAAACACGAGCATGGGCAAGTGCATAAACCGGAGCATGGTAGGAATGGGAATGACTGCATGCCTACGATACGAGAACACGTGAATATGTATAAGAAGAAGAATAAGAAGAAGAAGAGAGAGGAAGGAAAACACACTGATACTAGTGATAGTAGCAGCAGTGACAATGATGAATGATTGCTCGTAAAAAGAAGGTACTTTTATATTATAATAATGAAAGCTTAAAATATATTTATTTGAATTTAGTCTCATGTACATTAATTAATATTTCATATGACTATGAATGTCAAATTTCATACTCTACCTAACAATGCTACATATAATTGAACTTGTATAAAACTACAAATTGAACTTTTTTCCCATAAATTTGAGGTGAACTACATAAATTTTCCTTCAGGAATTATGCTCGGTTTGATACTAAGATCTAATATGAATAGTTTTCTTCTTCTTCTTCTTCTTCGCAACTACAGTAAAATACATGCACGAACACGCTCGCACGTGCACTTCAAATTAGAGTGCAACTGTTGAGTTGAAAAGTTTTTCAATTCTCTGTAATAATTTGTTTCAATAATATATTTACTGCCAAAGCTAAGTTTTCTGAATTTTGCATGCAGGATTAAAGAGAAGGACCATTCTGAAAGATCATACCGTATAAGGGATTGAAATATATATATCTAAGGATACGTTCTTTAAGATAATATATAAATAAGAGAGCAATAAACGAGAATGAACTTACTATGTATAATGAAGAGTTCATTGATAATAATGAAAATTTTTATATTATACTACCAATCTTCTTTATCTAATGAATTCTATATCTCATCTAAAATTGCGTTCCTTTATTTTCGGAAATTAATACATAAAAGAGCATGTTTGGCTCATAATATTAAGCAATTTTAAGAGCCGTCCATTTAAATATACACGCCATGAAATTTTCCCATATTGAAATCTATTTTTTTAATTTTATTTTGAAGTATTATTTAATAACAAAGCATGATAAGAAAGTGAATTTTCTTCAAGAAAAATTATTACATTATCAAGAATATTATTTTGTTATAATTAATAATAGGAGACCAAATAAGTAGTTGATTGTAACCTTTTCTTGAAATATCTCCATTGTTTTCTTTCTTTTTCCATTTTTCTTTATACTAGTCTATTGCACGGGCAAGATTATTTTGAACGACATATTAGCATTTTTAATGTTGATATGAGTTTATTGTTTAAAAAAGAAGCGAATCAATTAGTTATAAAAATAATCATTTGAGGTAATCTATTGATGATATTAGTTTTGAAATTGAATGATTCAATATAGTAATGACAAAAATGAGCAATTCAACTTTGTGCAAAGAAAAACAATAATTTTCACCAATAGAAAAAATTGAAATCATTTTAAATCAAACAAATTTATATTGAAAAAATTTTGAATAAAAAAAAACTCTCATTTAAATGAGAGAAAAGCAATAATTGGAAAAATTAAGTTCAATCATAAAGAGAAAAGAATTTTAAAAAATTTAAATAGAAAAAAATTTATCTATAATACGAACAAAAAAATTGAAAATATAAATTAATCAGTAATTTCCACTAGTAGAAAAATTAAAATAATTTTACATTGAACAAATTTAAATTGACAAAATTTTTAATGAAAAAAAATTTGTCCTTTGAATGAAAGGAAAACAGTGACTAAAAAACATTAAATTCAATGAGAAAAGAATTTAAATAGAAAAAAATATCTACAATATAAACAAATTTTTTTTTTAAATAAAGAAATAAAACAAAATTTCCATACATTGAAAGGAGCGGAGAGAAACTCTCATTTTAAAAGGCGAGTTCTCTCCTTTTCAGAGGAGAGACAATCTCTCCATGGATGGAGAGATTCTTTCCGTCCATAGAGAGTATTTTTTTTCCTTATTTTCTATTTAAATTTGTTTTATTTATATTATAATTTTTTTATTTTGGATTTAAAAATTTTTTTAATTCTTTTCTTTTTATGATAAAATTTATTTTTTTAATTTTAATTAAATAATATTATATTCTTTGTTTCATTTTTGTCACTTTAATTTGTTTAATTTTTTTGTTTAATTACATAATATTTTTATAAATTTATTTTGTTCATATTATAAATTTCTTTTTCTTTTTAATTCTTTTCTCTTTATAGGTTAGGCACATTTTCTCTCCTTAAAAAAAAAAACTACAAATGGGTGATACATGCATCTTTGAACTACTGAACAAATCATCAATCATCTTTACAAATGCAAACAACAACAAAACTATAAACACTACTAATTGGATCAAAAAGACTCTAAACATACCCAAAGCAAACTCTTTTAAGCCTCATTAAATATAAAAAACAATGATAAAAAAATTTAAGTTTCTCAAGTAGATAAGGGTAAAGAAAGAAAGATCTAGCTAACTTTTACACAGTCAACAACAACAAATAAGAAAAACATATATACATAAAATAAAGCCGAAGAAAACAAGAAATAAATTCACAAGAAAGCAAATATCCAACAAAACATAAACTTCATAGCCATATTCAAGAAAAAAAAATAAAACTCCAGTTAAATTGTCACGTATATACAGAAATAAGAACATAGCTCACATCTAGGTAGAGGAAGATGAGCGAAAGATACAAGCAAAAAAGGGAAATACAAGCAAAAATAATAATAATAATAATAATAAAATTACAAGAATATACCCAAAAATAATCGTCACGAATTCTATGGTTTTCTTACCTATGATTGAGATGAGAACTGCGCGATATTTTTTTCCCACAGAAAGAAACAAAAATTTGGAGAGTTTTTTTTTCATACATGAAAGTTGGACTTTTTGACAGAAATCGATTGAATTGAAGGACGGAGAATGAGTAACTTGAAAGAATAATAGATGGTAGATTATTTTATATTTCTTTATAATATAATAAAAAAAAAAAACCAAACCACTTTGACCAAACTCATTTCAAACCAGCTGAATGTGAAAAAGCATGTGAGAAAAATGAACAGTCCAATTTTATGCAAAAAAAGCAGTAATTTCCACTTTCACCAATTGAAAAAATTTTAAATATAAAAAAATTAATATTGAAAAAATTTTAAATAGAAAAAAAATCTTCTTTCACAGAAAAAAATAATTGAAAAAATTAAGTTCAATCATAAATAAAGAGAACTTTAATAAAAAAAATACTATAAATAAAAAAAAAAAAAAAGGGACTCCATGCATGGAGTAAAAAATCACTCCGTGCACGGAGTGTTTACGGACTCCCTATATTTTTTATTTTTTTAAATTTTATTTATAGTAATTTTTTATTAATATTTAATTTTAAAAATTTAAATATATCTAAATATTTACTTAAAAATGTTGAAGTTAATTTTTTTTATCTATAAATAGCTTTTACAAATATAGGTTTTTTTTATTACTTTTAAATAACCTGAAGTTATTTTTTTTACTTTTAAGTAATTTTTTACATTCTAGATAGTGTAATCTTTTTATTAATATTTAATTTTAAAAACTAAATATATCTAAATATTTATGGTTAAAAAAATTTTAAGTTAATATTTTTTTACTTATAAGTAGCTTTTGTAATTATAAGAGAATGAGGGATTAATATTTTTTTACCTATATGTAGCTTTTACAAAAAAGATAACACTATCTAGAATGTAAAAAATTGCTTATAAGTAGAAAAAAAATACTTCAAGTTATATAAAAGTAATAAAAAACGTATAATTATAAAAGCTACTTGTAGGTAAAAAATATTAATCCCTCATTCTCTTATAATTGTAAAAGCTAATTATAAGTAGAAAAATATTAACTCAAAATTTTTTAAGTATAAATATTTAAATATATTTAGTTTTTTAAATTAAATATTAATAAAAAGAATACACTATCTAGAATGTAAAAAGTTATTTATAAGTAAAAAAATCACTTCAAATTATTTAAAAGTAATAAAAAACATATAACTGTAAAAGTTACTTATACATAAAAAATATATATATATATATTAACTTCAACATGGGAAATATGTATTGTGAATATCTGAAGCTAGAAGATGGGAATATGGCATTGTGGCAATTTTCTTAATTCTTTAGCTTGCGGCGCAATTTTTTGAATAATTGCCCGATTCGTAAGTTCTTCCATCTCCCCTTGATTGGCTTTCTAAATCGACCATCTTGCTTTTTCTTTGAAAAAGTGTTGGTCACTATGTAAGGGGCTTATATTGTTCGTTTTTATTGAGACTAGCCAGGGACATTTTATGAAAGCATTGAGAGTTGATTCTGCTACAGAATATACTTCGACACTATTTGGTAATTTTAATTCTTTGTGAATTTTGGGGAACATGTTGTTTGGGGTCATGTATCCGTGTTGGATACAGTAGAAGAGGAAGAGTATTTTTGTGTTAAAGAAAGTTTGATTCTTATAGAAAAGTTCGAATTTTTTGTTGTAGTCGAATTTATTTTTTCAGGTGGAGAAATTTTGGAACTTCATTCGTTACAATGGAATTTAGGTCAAGGTGGAGTCTATTGAGATTTTTGACCCAAATTAGGTTGATTTTTTTATTTTTTGAAAAATATTGTTTTCTTTATTAGAAGTGCTTTTATTGGAAAATATTATTTCCTGTATTCCACACGTTTTTATTAAAAAATATATTGTTTCTTTTATTCTACGTGATTTTTTACCTTGTTTTCATCTTTGTAGTATTTCTAGGGTTTGGCACGCACCACTATAAATACTAGACTCTTTTAATAAGTTTTGTATTACTAAAATATAGAATAATTGTGTAGACATAATTATCGTATTTGTTATCTCCATACTCGTCAATTAAATAAAATACTCAATTTCTCTGCCAATTAATATTTGTATTTTATTTTGTTATTTGTTTGTGATCATAATTTTTTTTATCGGTAAATGTAAAATTTTCATAGATCAAAACTCATTTACAAGTACACCAAACATAGTCGGACAAGTAAAGATCAAATGACAAATACATATACATTGGGCATACCCTAGTAAACAAAATAAAATGATGTACCCACGATAGTCTAAAGGTCCACAGCTAAATACTCGAATTGAATCAAAACATATGAATACAAAGCAAACATAGCTTTGTATACGTGTGTTTTAATCAGTCTTACAATAGAATCGACTTGTGGCCTAAGACTTTCAAAGATACTACTATTCATTGCCATCCAAATGTAGTACATGGTAGAAGCAATAGCAATATGTTTTGCTTTATTTTGCCAACTCGTTCCCCGAGCTTCTTTTTTCATTCACTTTAATAAACTCAAGAAAGTAGACATGTTGCGCCTAATAGCCAATCAACCACAGATTTGTTCCAACCTGCCTTGCTGATCGAACATGAAAAGAACAAGTGTTGTGCTGTTTCCTCCGTTCGTCCACAAAAATTGCAATTTCGATCGAGCTGTAGGTATTGTAATCTGTCCATCATTTACAATATTGCTTGAACTCCTAACCAAAGGATGAAAGCATGCTTTGGAGTGATGGAATTATCCCAAATTGAAGCTGCACAGATTGCACCTTTCGGCCTAAAAAACTCGTAGGTAGCTGTAGTGCTAAATCTGCCAGCCTCCATCTTGCATAATAATCTATGAGCTCCACTACATGTACAGAACATGGATTTACAGAAGAGATACAGAAAAGATGCATGGTGGGGGTGGGTGGTTGATTTTTGGGAATATTATATCAAACATGGGGCCCGCGCTACAGTGAGACTTCTGGCACCATTCTGCGAAAAAAAAAAATTGTACACATAATTTTTCATAATCTATTCATACCAGCTTGCACTACACATTCCGACCCAATAATGCTGTCCCTGATTTTAACACCTTTTTGAGCAACGGAGAGTCATCTTTTTTCACCTTATATTCCCAAATGCTCATACCTCAAAGATGTACCTAATTTATCTTTTTAATCCAAAGAGTATCCTTCTTGTTATGGATGTTCCAAAGTGTTTTGAAAAGTAGTACAACATTCCAACTTTTAATATCTCACACTAGCCTGCATTGCACATTCCAGCCCAATAATGTTGTCCTTAATTTTCAACATCTTTTTGAGCAATGAAGAATCATCTTTTTTCACCTCATATACTTCATATCGTGTTATATATATTGCTTCGATCCATTTTATTTCCTAACACAATGAACATTGAATTATATCTAAATCCTAACAAGATTGGAGGAGTGACTCATGGGCATAACAAACATGATCCATAAATTCTAAAAATGAGTCCGTAAACTCAACTTGTAGCAAGCTAAAAGCATGAGTTGAACCTATTTTGCTTCGAGAAGAGAGAGGGGAACACAAATGACAAAAATATATCCTTCGACTTCGGTCAAGTTCTTTCATAAAACTCGTTGATCGCTACTTAAGTTCTTGTTCCATGATTCGGTCGTGATCGGACTCTAGGCACGTGAGATCCCTACTCTAGAGGATTGTGTTGCATTTAAAAATTAAAGAATATGGATGCAGATATTTCAACTCAAGGCCAAAAGCATGTCACCTTATCTGAAACACTTAATGACGAGTTAGTGCTTAATACAAAATTAAATTTGGTTTAATTAGACAACAAGTCACTTTCAGTCTTTTTCATCAGAAAATGAACATTTTCCACAATAACGCGGAAACGATTAATATAATTAAATACCAAGATTTAAGCAAATTATTTAAACTATCGTTGCAGACATAATCCCATCTGATTAATAATAGAGTTTGGTAATAGTAATTTTGTCAAACGTTGGAGTGCGATGTGTGACATTTACAGGATATCTTAGATTACTAACTTGACTTAGTAAGAATACCACTTTTATAATGCGGGAGTCATTAAAACCGAACCACCCAATAAAATTCCTTCACTCATTTTTCTCTATAAAAAGATTATTATACGCATTTCTTTTTTTCAATCATATCTTCTCTTATCTATAGGGGTAAGGATGATAATCAAGGTGTATTTCCGGGCTCAATATACCAATCTCTTCCTCATCAAAACACCCAAAATCACGACCCAATTCCTTCTACTATTTCACATTCAGGTTGCTTATAATTATACCCACTCATGTTTTTGCAGCCACACAGGCTGAAAAAAGGAATGAGAAGAAGAGTTTCAAGAGAAAGCACAAAGTAAGAAGGCGCAACCAGTTCTCTCTCAAACATAAGGCAAAAACACACGTGAATGACAAAGCTAAAGAGGGACAGTATATATAAGATATGTTAGGACATAGTAATGGGCTAAGCCCTAGAGGTCGTTTGACAATAATTTAATTCATTCATCTGGACAATGCAGACTAAAAGTTCCAACAAGTAATATCATCGTCCGAGAGGTCGTTTAACAATAATTTGCCAACATTATCAAATCATACCAAAATATGAAGTGACAATATTTATAAAATCTGCAGAGACAAAAAATTTTATGAGTTTTACTACACGTACATATATCGACACTGACACGTCCCTTATAAGAGGGGGTCATGCTTTTTTTTTATTGGGCGTGGCGCCTCCCTCTTGTGAGAGGCGTATACACCGACGTGTCAAAATTTATAAAATATACGATATATTAGAGTAGAAACTAGTGGATATTATCGGTCCACCAATGATACGGTCCTAAATAGTAGCAGTGCTCAATCTAACCAATAGAAACAAATGACGCGGTTATATTTACTTATTACTTTGTTAAAAACTTTTTGACTTCATTTTTCTTCCCGTAACTCAATCATAACCATGACTGGTTTGGGCTTTGAATTGGTCAGCAGATGGACCTTCCACTCTTTCTAGATGTTTTGTGTAGTTTAAGTGAAGAATGTGTTGAACGTTAATTGAAATAGATAATTTATTTATGGATGAAGTGTCCTAACATTTATTGCTCATGCTTCCATTCCATGTTCAAGAAATTATATTTGATAGAATCCAACGAAATTAAGAAAAATAATATATATATATATATATATATATATATATATATATATATATATATATATATATATCCTGAAAATTGGTCAAGAAGACATTATCTATTGTCCGCTCTTGTATACATCAATTTGATGAACTGAGAATGTTATATAACACTTTTAAGTCGTATTAAATATGTCACTGCATTGAATAGTACTAAATAATATTATGGGGAAAAAATGTTAATTTAAGCATCTGTTTGGCCCCCATTTTCTATAAATGAAAATGGGTGGAATAGTATTTTTTTTTTAAATGAGTGGTTGAAAAAAAAAGTAAAAGTTTTCGATTTACGTGTAATATTATTTTATGAAAAATTGTGTGGTTGAAAATAGGAAATAGAAAAATGAAATATAATAAAATGTAATTTAATTGGACCAAACGGGGGCTTAACAACATCATTCTCACTCCTATTCCACCAAAATATAATTCTTCAATTTCATTATAACAATTTATGCCACGAGAAACAATGAGGAACAGTACTTTGATGGAGTTTGAATTGGTCAGCATTTGACCTCCCTCACTACACCCTTCCACTATGACCATTGACCGGTCCAAGCACAAGAAAACTCGGTTTCTCAGTCAAATTCCACCCTCCTACTTTCTTTTCCACATCCCTTTCTTCCCGCAATCAATCCTAAAAGGTCTCTTTATATTCAAATGCTTCACTACCTACTTAACCATAATCCAGTTTTTCACCATATTCAAGTAGTTCAAGAATTTCTTAACTAAATTCTTGATATCGAAAACCCGAACCCTCGATCAGGTCCTCCAATCATAGCTAACCTTGAGAAGGTTCGTGAAAACGCAAACGAGCAAACAATATGGAGAGCACATCGACGTGGGAACAACAGATGCTGATTAATGAACTCACTCAAGGAATGGAGCGAGCTAAGCAGCTTCGGTTTTACTTGTGCACGACTTCTCCTTCCGAAGCTCATGACCTGCTTCTGCAGAGGATACTGTCTTCTTACGAGAAAGCTCTATCGATTCTCAAGTGGAGCGGATCAACTGGACAACTCCAGTTAGCTGCACCAACATCAGGTGCACCAGAATCGTCAATATCTGTTGATGGAAGTCCACGAAGTGAGGAATTGAACAAGACATTCAGGGAACAGCAAGAACACAGAGATACATCAAAGAAGAGGTATGTTTACTTTCTCAGTTCATCGTGATTTGGAATTCGCAATTAACTATGGGAATTTCCATTTCAATGACGTTTTCATCCTCATATGTTTCTCGATTGGTTTATATGCAGAAAAATGTTGCCCTTGTGGACAGAGCAAGTTAGAGTTAACTCTGAAAATGGACTTGAAGGGCATAATGATGATGGATATAGTTGGAGAAAGTATGGACAGAAAGACATTCTGGGAGCTAAATATCCTAGGTTTGTTGCCTTATCCTACACGGAAGACAGATTTCAACTAAAGGATTTAATCCAAATCAAATAAAAAGTTCTTGTAGATGTCAAACTAATACTAATCTATATATGTTTGCAGAAGCTATTACAGATGCACGTACCGTCACGTTCAAAATTGTTGGGCAACAAAGCAAGTGCAAAGGTCTGATGATGATCCCACCGTTTTCGAGATCACGTACAAAGGGTCGCACACGTGCAACCAATCGAATAATGCAGTTCAGCCCCCTGCATCACCAGAAAATCAAGAATTGAACCATAAACCACAGCAACAAAACCAGATGCTTTTCGACTTGCGAGCAAAACTCAGAGTCAACACGGAGGGCCTAGACAACAAAGAGATCACGCCCCACTTCTCATTTCCATCAACATTTGCAAGTGTCGACTTTGAGAGTCGTATTTTTCCAATCTCCACGCTTGCTGATGACGTTCACTTGGGTGCCAATTCTCCTTTGGTCGTATCTCCAGCCCTGTCTGAATCAAATTACTTCTCGGCATCGTCAACCTACGAGATGAAGAGATTTAGGGGTGTTCATAATTTGCAACATTTGGAATCTGATATTGCTGAAATAGTTTCAGCACATGCTTCTACAACCAATTCTCCAATTGGAGGGATGGAGTTTCCTATTGACCCTGTAGAACTAGATCCAAATTTTCCATTCAACGTCCAAGGATTTTTCACATAATCCAACTTTAAACATTGCAAAAACGGACAATAAAGAAGAACTGATGAGTTTATGGCAGAACTGTGATGTTTCCTTGTGGTTTCACCAATTACGAGATGTCTCAATAATATGAAATATTGTAGTCCAGTTTTTATGTACATAAACTATGCTTAAAACAAAAGAAATTGCGTAGGTTGTGGCAGCAGCGGCAATCACTGTTTTATATAAAAAGTAACATATGGTATTACAATATGTTATTCATGCGATATAGTGATTTTTTTAATATAAAGTAACAGTGACACCCTAACATTTGCAAGCTTTGACGTGGCCCATCAGAATTATGAATGCCAAATCCATTAATTAAGTAAAAATCATGCAAAAATTTGTTCATCTCTATTTCTGCGTGCACGGATTTACGACTACTATATAGACACGATGGTGCACGGTTGATAGTTCACAGCTTACCAGTAAGCATGGAAAGTGTGATTGGTTTTGTTAGAGGAGTTTAAGGAACTCTAACCAACACATTTCCTTGCCTAACTCTATTAATCTAGTAATTTACACTTCTACTTTTCTGCCGTTGTCTGTAAGATTTTATTCAACTTCGGAGTTGGATTCTGAGTTTACCTTCAATTTCCGGTCATTGGCTGTCCTTGTGACATATCAGGTAACAACGAGACCTTACTGTGCGTTTTTATACATCCTTTAACGTGTTTGTAACAGTGTCTAGTGCTGTTTAGTCATCTTATAACATTTTAATTTAATGTGACGACAATTTTCTATTTTTTGCGTCTCTTTGTGATTATAATAAGTATATTTGAAAATAATATTTGGCAAAATAAGTAACTTAGGTACGTTTAACTTAGTATCAAGTGCAACTAAGTATTCTATGATTTGTCAGCAACTGCTTCAAAAATCAACCATGGCATCAATGGGAAAATTATTTGCGCCTTTGGTTTTATTAAATCCAAAACATAAACCCTGTTATCCAGTTCGACCTTACTGTGCGTTTTTATACATCCTTTAACGTGTTTGTAACAGTGTCTAGTGCTGTTTAGTCATCTTATAACATTTTAATTAATGTAATGACAATTTTTTATCTTTTGCGTCTCTTTGTGATTATAATAAGTATATTTGAAAATAATATTTGACAAAATAAGTAACTTAGGTACGTTTAACTTAGTATCAAGTGCAACTAAGCATTCTATGATTTGTCAGCAATTGCTTCAAAAATCAACCATGGCATCAATGGGAAAATTATTTGCGCCTTTGGTTTTATTAAATCCAAAACATAAACCCTGTTATCCAGTTTGGGTTGCTTCAAGAAATACAATATCAGTTATAAATAATTGCTTCAAGAAAAAAAAAATTGTTCAAGAGAAATTGGAGCCTCTGTGGGACGATGGATATGGAACTCAAACAGCTAAGGATTTCTTGGAGGCAGCAAAGGATATGATTATGCCAGATAATGGACCACCCCGGTGGCTTTGCCCGATTGAATGTGGGTCACCGATTAAAAATTCACCGGTTCTTCTGTTCTTACCAGGTATTTACATGACCATCAATCAAGAGCCTAAAAAATCAACACTGATTTTATCGTTTATTGTACAGTTTGTGTATTTATAACCCTCTTTAGGGAGATGTTCATGAATCATGACATCGGATCAAGCAAGGTGACAAGAAAATTCACCTAGACGACTCAATAAGACTTAATTAGAAGTTGATATTATCCTTGTGCAGGGATTGATGGACTTGGCATGGGGCTCATAGTGCACCACAAGGCCCTTGGCAAGGTTTTCGAAGTTCAATGTATGCACATTCCCATAGATGATCGAACACCATTTGAAGGGCTTGTGAAATTTGTTTCGGAAAAAGTGAGAAGTGAACATGCCTTGTTTCCAAACAGGCCGATCTATTTGGTGGGAGAATCTTTTGGAGGATGCCTAGCACTATCGGTTGCTGCTTTTAATCCCACTATCGATTTAGTAGTAATATTGGCGAATCCAGGTACTCCCAAACTTCATATTCTTGATAGTTCTAACACCCGAGGAGTATGTCCCCAGCACTCCAAAGGTACGTCTCATTTTGTAATCTTTCTATCACATTATATTGCAGCAACATCATTCAGCAGGTCACAACTTCAGCCTATGTTCCCTTTCATGGAGGCTTGTCCTAAAGAACTACATAAATTTCTTCCTCACATTTTTGGCCTCAGTTTAGGGAACCCAATCAAGATGGCAAATGTTAATGTCCATAGTCCATTTTCTCCTGCCAAAAAACTGGAAAACTTGTTTCATGATGTAAAGGTTCTGGTAGAAGGTGCCACTCTCCTTGCTGATCTTTTACCAAAGGAAACTTTGTCCTGGAAATTTAAGTTGCTTAAATCTGGAGCAGCACATGCCAATTCACATCTCCATGCTGTGAAAAGTGAAGTACTTGTGCTTGCAAGTTGCATGGATTGCATGCTTCCTAGTGCTGCAGAAGCAGGGAGACTCTTGGACTCGCTCGAGAATTGCAAAGTCAGGTACCATTTAATCATCCCGTCTAAACTATTAAGCTATACTTTTGAACTGGAGCCATTGTAGTTATAGTAAGTTGGACGCACATTTTTTATATTAATTGCTCTAGTTTCTTATATTGTATTAAGGAATCAGAAAGGAGGTCATTTTTCCACAAAGCTTCAACCTTGTTAACTATGACAGTTGTACATATAAAACGATACGGGACTATGGTAGCACGCTATAGTTTGAGCTGCAATCACAGTTTCTGCCAACTTGAGTGTAATAAACAAATTATCCCAACAAGATGCCCCTGTACACTGGGCATTTTCCTTATCTTAAGGAGCTATCTGCGTCAAGAATTTCAATTGAAAGATTAGATGGAGAGGTTTAAGGAATAAAAGACATTGTCCAAAACCTGTAGCAGTAAGCAGGCATAACTTTTACATTCAGAGTGAACCACTATAAATTTATGTGCTTACACGTAACTTTTAACTGTTTTGCTTCTTGTTTCGTTTATTATTGCTATAGATTAGGATTAGGGCATACTTTGAGTTGGGATATTTATTTATTTAAACTTAGCTTTAAACAGATACTTCTACGACAATGGCCATGCCCTTTTGGTAGAAGATGGGATTAATCTCTTGTCTGTCATCAAAGGTACTAGCAAATATCGGCGGTCTAAAACCCATGATTTCGTCTCAGATTTCATCCCTCCCAGTAAGTCAGAATTCAAGGGCTTATCCACTGAACTTCTGGGAATATTCCGCCTTGCTACAAGCCCAGCAATGTTTTCAACTCTGGAAACTGGAAAAATAGTGAGGGGCCTGTCGGGGATTCCAGATCAAGGCCCGGTTTTGCTAGTCGGTAATCACATGTTTTTCGGGGCAGAAATTGGAGGCCTTGTTGAAGAATACTTGAGAGAGAAGAAAATAGTGCTTCATGGAGCTGCACATCCTGAAATCTTCGCAGAAAATATTGAAGCTCCTTTACAGGTTATTTCTGGGTTTGATATGTTCAGAGTGTTCGGGGCAGTTCCTGTAACAGCAAGAAACTTTTACAAGTTACTGTTGAACAAATGTCATGTTGTTCTCTATCCCGGTGGTGTGCGGGAGGCGTTACACCGGAAAGGGGAAAAGTACAAGCTGTTTTGGCCGGAGGAACCCGAATTTGTAAGAATGGCATTAAAATTCGGGGCGAAAATTGTTCCATTTGGAGTTGTTGGTGAGGATGATATACAGGAACAATTTCTTGATTACAATGATGTGATTAATATTCCTATTATTAAGGAAATGATTAAAACAAGAAATAATGTTACGGCCAAAGTAATGACAAGGACTCATATGACAGGAGAAGTAGGAAATCAAGATTTTTTTATTCCAGGGATTTATCCGAAAATTCCAGGCCGGTTTTATTTTCTGCTTGGGAAGCCAATTGAAACAAAGGGAAGGGAAGAGCTTCTGAAAAACAGAGAAGCTTGCAAGGAACTTTATTTGCAGATACAATCTGAAATCACAAGAAATATGGAATATTTGCTCAAGAAGCGAGAGGAGGATCCATATCGCCATTTATTTGAAAGGACAATATATCGAGCTCTCTTAGCTCCTGTTGATCAAATTCCAGCGTTTGATCCATGATTTCATGCCCAATAATAATTCAAGTTGATGCTCTGTTTTATTTCTTTCTTTACAAAATGAGTAACAATTAATTCTCATTTTGATTTGATGTTAGTACGTGTTCGGTCTAATGTACATTTTACAAAAACCGTGAAGCAATGTGGAATTGCACCCACAGCCAAACATAGCAGCTTGTGTTCAATCAATTCAAGCATAGCAAATAAAGGCAAACTCAATGCTCAAGCATGACTAGCCAACTTGCTTGACATGAGCGTGCCCGCAAAGCAACATTAACTTGATAAAAGAGCGTCCACTACGAAAAACGTGAAAAAGTATGGTAGAATTTCAAGTAATCAAGAAGTGGTGCCACAAGAAATTTAAGAAGAATGACAAGTTGATTCTACAACGTTACTGTAGCTTGTTAATCCGAATTTTTTCATCTTGCTAAGCACAATAACTAAATTCTATTTTACAAGCATTCTCGTTCTTGGAATAATATTGTGTACTGGAGAGTACTGAGTAGCAAAAAGAGGCAAATTAAGACCAATCACCACAATATTAGCTTCATCCTCTATGTTTGTGTAAGAAATTCTTCGACCTCTTTTAGAAGTAGATCATCTGTTACATGCATGCCACCAAATCCTGACTAAATATGGAAATTCTATTATATATTTCCTTTACTTGTGATTTAAACAAATTGTAAGAGTATCATTATTATATGCTAATGTGAATGTGTGATGTAAATATTATTTATAAGTAAATTGAATTATGTTGCATTCAATCAGTCACCAGTTTTTATTCATACTGCTTTATGACCATGTCCTTATTTTTGTTAATTTAAACACAGAGTTTTTCATTTACTTGAAGGGTTGATCGTGATTTTGTTTTGAAACACTTCTCAAAGCTTCTTTCAATTATTTGACAATGTTAAACTAATATTCCATTTCTAAACCCTCATAATTCTATATTCCACTGTATCACCTTATTAATTGACAAAAATTAATCAAATATGTGATTCAAAAGTTGACAGATTAGAATTGTTGTTAAGGATCCAAGGATATGTTCGATTCCAGTTCAGACAGAGAAAAACATAAACTCAACCAAAAAAGAAAGAAAAGGCCAAAATGAAAATAGATCATCCATGGCTAAAGAAAACAAATAGACCATGTTATGTTTATATCAGAAACTAGGGTTCTGCCATTACCTTCTACGATAAGGCACGATTGAATCCTTCCCAAAACACTTAACTTCTTGATCCTTGCCGCCGCCAGCCACAATCTCCATAGAACGCGCTGCTGCAATTCTTTTAATATCTCGAATCACCATCTCCATTTCATCAAGTTCATTAATCTCTAAATCCCCAATCGCCAAATCCCATTCCTGCCTCCCCTTCCCCATCACCGTCTGAACCTTCCGCTCAGCCTTCGACAGTGATAGCATCTCCTCCTCCATCGCCGCCATCCGATTTCCACCATGCACGCGTTCATCACCATTACCATAGGAAAGGTACCGATTCACCACCGGGTCGACGGCCGGGTGCCCAAAAGCAAAGATGTTTCCAGCCTTGGAGACAGTGATTACTGTCGCTTCTGCTTCACACTTTGTGCACAGATCTTTGGCTTTCTTGAAAAGGCCTTGGCGTCTCTTTGTGAAAGTTGTGTGCCTCTTTGATACGTTCTCGATTGCCTTGATTTCTACTTTTCTTCGCACCATGATTTCTTGTGGGTTTGATGAATACGGGAATCGTATGATTTCTCCGATTCTGGAAAATCTGAATGGGAATTTTACAGTAATACCAAGTCTCCATTAAATTAAATTTTATTATTCTCTCTTATTTTTAATAGAACATTTTTTTATAAAATAATATTACAATTAAATTGAAAATATTTCCTTCTATTTAAATCACTCATTTTTTCAAAAATAAAATAATAATAATAATAATAATATTCTACCCATTTTAATTTTAAAAAAAGGGGCCAAACGAAGTTATGTTAAGATTTAGATCTAGTTTTCCTATACCTATAAATTTTGATAGTTGTGTCCCCAACCTTTCATGAAAGTTAGTAAGCTTCTCTAACTAATTTTCTATCATAAAAGTCTCTTAACATTCCATAAATTAGCAATTAGAGCATTTTAAAAAGACTAATTAAACCTCCGTATAACATTCATTAAATAAAAAAAAATTATAATCATTATTAACTACATATTATCCAAAAAAACTACTATTTCAAAACTTATTTTTCTCAAGAAACTCATTTCAATGGATGTCGAACAAGGTTAAATACAAAATACTATTTATTTTAGAGTCAATGCCTAAAATTAAGTTTAAGAGACTAGAATTTTAACTTTTCTGCATAAAGAGTGGATTTGACTCTCCAAATAAAAAGTCAAACCCGCTCTCTATTATTAATTAACAATAATGATATTTAATAAATTGCAAATTTCAATATTATCCAATTTAAATTGAGGAGAACTATAGTTGGGGTCCCCAAATCTTTTATCTTGTTACAAACTATACCAAACCCTTTCATTTTTGCAATTGGGATCCTAAACCTTTCATCTAGAGTACAACTGGAACACACGTGGACGAAATTTGTGCATTCGATCGTTAGTTGACCAAAAGTCAACAATTTGACCAAATTATCCCATATAATATAATTAAATAAAAAAAAGAAATCATTTTATCAAATAGTTGACTTTTGGTCAACTGACGATCAAATGAATGAACTCCGTTCACATATCCTCTAACTACAGTAAAGATTAAAGGTTTAGGAGCTCAACTGTAAAAGTAAAAAGTTTTAAGTATAATCTACAATAATTGGAAAGGTTTACAACCCCAAATACAATTCTCCCTTTAAATTATTCAAATCATATTTAAATTGATTTGCCATTAACATATAAAAAAAATTATGTTAAATAAAATATGAGGGGAAATCAATAAATATTAATCAAAAATAAAATTAAAAAATCAAACTAGACAGCTTTGTTAGTGCATAAAAAATTGTATTTTTTAGGTTCAAACATACACACACTATTATGCATAACATACTCTTTATAAATAGAGTCTCTTGAAAATGCCCTTAGTTTCACGATTTTATCATTTTTTTTTTCTATTATTTTTCATCGCTACTCTATTATAAGAAATTTGCATATATTTATGTAACCCCCGAGTCGGATAAAATAGTCTTAATTTTAAAAACAGCAAATTAAAAAAACATTTGAGTTCTTTTCCCGTGTTAGGAGACAAGGGATAACCGGTTACTTGAGAATGTCAAACGCCGTTTAAACTTGACGACGCCATCACTCCCAGTAGAAGCCAGTGTCCCATTCCATCTGCCCCACCTGCCATTGTCAACAAAATAACATATTAGCTTGGCCATTGCATCTACGAAGCAAGTTCAGTATTCAACTCTTTTTCGCCATAATTATTTGCACGTCTTGCTAAGCTTCAAAAATTTATATACAAGTTAGTAATTAAATTTTAAAAGAAACTAATTACTCAATGGTCAGAGTTGGAAATAAATTACTTGTTTTCCAGTAACACTTGTCTTACTGTCTAAATAAGTAATTCTTCCACTTATAAACAATAAGAAAGTAATCCATCTGTGTATATTTGCAAACAAAAATTTATTAAAGCTTGTATCTCTGTCAAAAGAAAACTTAATTTAAGTATAAACACAACCTGGTGTGTCCGTTCACATAAATACTGAGTTCGAAATTCAGAAGAGTTTAATATGAGTGGTGACTAAAAGTTTTTCAAACTTATTTCCACAATTAATGCTAAGACTTCGAACAAAAATATAGCACAAATTGTATCAATAATTTCCGTTTTTCCACGTGTGAACACATTAGTGCGGAAACATATAGAGAGAATCAAAATGTGTACCTTGGAGGAATTACGAAGGGGGGATTCGCGCTGAAGCCCAAGATAAAGCTTGACTGCTGGACTTCAACTCTTTGTGGATTCCAAGAGATGGACGCAGACGAGCATGAAGCATTCCCAAGCTTAGAGACCGAATGAATTACATTTTTAAATTCAGCCTACAAATGTATCATAATAAACCATCTTTAATGCTGAAAACAGTTGCCGTGCAAGGCATGAATAACCCAAACCAGTACTCCATCGATGGTGAATGACAGGAAAATCCAAGTGGCTAAAACATATATTATGCTTCTCTAGTAAAGTCAATGATGAAGATTAATTATGAGTTGATGGCTTACTCCCTTACATCATAAGCAGTTCAAGTGCCTATATCGGTTAAAGCACAACTCAAATGCTGTTCAAAGACCCGATTAAATTAGCCTCATACCTGGCATTTAAGTACTATGGGAGCTAATTGGTGAAGTCAGGATGAAAAACATGCTTCCCGTTACGTTTTGGACTTGTGAAAAACCTACAGATTCAATTGCATTAAAAAAAGGGTGAGTTCGATACAGAATATGTGCAAAAAAATGACTCGGGATACAGTACAGGTATGGACTTGTAAACACAAAATCACTTTTAAGAGAACGAGAACTTTAGCAGTGTACATACATGTCTGAAGTGCTTATATTCGACAACAACACTTCATCTCCAGTTTACACAGGTATGCCAACAGATGCTTCTGTTAAGCAGCAACATTACACATTAAAATAAAACAACAAACGAAGAAAATACCTGCAGTCGCCACTTCTCCAATTCAAGTGGATCTAGAAGCTCAAAGATATTCACATGTCCATCTGAATATGCAGCAATGCGTGCAGGAAGTAAATTCAGGTATAAAAGTCGGCCTATTAAAAAATCATGACACATTTTTATATATTGTAATTTGCTAGTGATTTTAAGGTTGAAGGGATTGTATTTTAAACCATTTACTTTTATTGCACAAAAAGATTGAGATTGTCCAGTAAATGATCTCTGTATCAAGCTGATCTTTATAGTAAGTTAAAGTGTCCATTGAGATAGCCATGGTTATCTACCCAAGCTAATTCGTAAATTTAGGGTAGCAATGAGTTGTAATTTATGTCTTTCAATGCTTGTTCCATATCATAAACAAGCACATGCACATGCACCCCATGTAGAAAAATATGTTGATTATAGTTGTCAGCCTATTCATATCCTGAGGCACCACTGGTTTAAGATAGAAATAGGGGAATAAAGAAAGGGAGGAAAATTTCTAAGCTAACTGATGTCTACGCTAATGGTTCATGTATCTCATTTTTTACTTGCAGAGTTTACTAAAGCACTACAAGCAAATATAACGAGTTTTAATGTAGGAAGATTATATCAGGTAACATCTCAGATTCTGGATGCTCCCCTTCTTTCCTTCCAAAGAAAATTAGTTGCTCCATTTTGTATATCTTAGTTATTCTTTAATCACTATTAGGATAAGAACATGGAGAGATGTTCCTATGTTGTAGTTACACAACATGTGCACTCTCGCAAAAAATGTATAGCACTTTCTTATTTGACACATTCTCTCTTGTTCTTATTTCAATTTTCGGAAGATTTCGTCTACCTTGTATTTACCTTTTATTCTTTTGATAAGAAGGCTTTTGTACTATATGCCAATAAATAACAAAAGGATACTGGAAGTATACAAAGTCTTTAAGGTTTTTGTGAACCATGTCTGCTACTGCATATCATAAAATTGCAGAGAGGGAGTAATAAGCGAGTAATAGGAAGACTCAACAGTTTCAGACATGTATGAGAATCTCCAAATTGAATATCTAGAACTTGACTTGTGCTTCTTTCAAAACATTTGCACAACTTCCAAAGAAGTACATCAGTATCTAGAGGATGACAAAAATGAACAATGTTTAAACCCTTACAACATGTCGCGGAACAAAAAGGTACAAGAAAATGTAGTTGCTGAAACCCAATACCCAAACAATGACAAAACATAATAACGAAAGAAAATCCAACTCCACAAAATGGGAACAATAATTAGCAACCTACAGCCAGAAAATAGATACTGCGAGAATCATGCCAAAGTTCAGTATTCTACAGGTTATCCGACATTCAGTAACATAAAATCTAGCTTCCATCCTCCTATGAAAAGATATAAGCCAATTAACAAATCAATTTCATTCATCATTTATTTGGCTTTTAAAACTAAAACTTTCTAAAAGGGTAAAACAAAATGCAATGCCGGCCTTGGCCCAAGGCAAACTACGCTATTGCCTTGGGCCTCATAATTTTGAGGGCCTCACATGTTGGGGGGGGGGGGGGGGGGGGGGGACCTCAAAGCTATCTCTAATTTTAGATTTTTTAATGACCCTTCCAAATAATATAGATTTCTGGCATCATTAAAACAAATTCTAGATTTTTGACTTGATACCAAAATAGAAACTTCTTCAAAACAAATTTGACCTTACCGTAAGGAAAGCTGATCTGGCAACATTAAATTATTTTACTTTTGCATTTTTGTTAATTAAGAAATATACAATTTTGACAAAAGAATCAAAATTAAGAACAATTTCCTTTCAGCCACTAAATTACATCTATAATATTACTTCACAGTACACAAAATAAGAAGAGATAAAAATTATTATATAATCTCTATGTTGGTAAGAAATATTTAATTTAATGTGTGAATTTTACGTTTGCATTCTTATATTTAATTCCTCAATGAACATTTGATAACTCAAATGTGTGTACCAATTCCTTTTGCATCTCAAAATGTGAGAATATTCAATATTCTACTAGTCTAATCTCTAAAGTTGCGAGAGAGGATTTATTTTGCTATTCTATCTCTTTAATTGCATGAAATCTTCATTTTAATATAGAAATATTATTTGGTTAAATATTTAAGTGTGTATATATATAGGGGCCCCAAAAAAATTAATTGCCTAGAGCCTCCAAATTCTCAGGGCCGGCCCTGACAAAATGGCAAATTGATTAAATACCTTATGTGACATTTTCCCACATAGACAACATTCCATCAGCACTAATGCAAACAACTGCATCTCCATGCTCCGGGGGAACCCAAACAACTTTCAAAATGCGTCTCTTGAACCTAATTTTTATCATGCTATAACTGGTAATTGATGGAATCCAAACTTCATCAGAAGAAGTTTTAACCAATCGGATTTCCTCCAGATATCAAATAAACACACAGCAAAAAAAAACTTAACTTCACACAATTAGGCCTAAAATGAACCATAGATATTAAATGCCTACCCAACATATATGCATTACAACCAGAGGAATGTTGCAACTTCATTGTGATCAATTGACTGGGTTACAGTCGCCGTGCTGGAAAAAGATAGCTGGTTTCTGTACAAGTTATAATAAGAAAACTTTGAGAACACTTTTCTTCCAAAAAGTTCATTGACGTATGTGTATGTATATATTTTCTCAATACCCTCAATTTCATACTTTCGTATGAAATTCAATTTCTCCATTAAATTTCAAATTTCACCGCTCTTAAATTGTAAACTTCAGAACGCCACATCATAAATATTTTATTGTAGATAGTTTTAATTCCTTTTTCTGTTAGATAATTGGTGACATGGCAGTTAGTTAGCATTTTGTTTTCCTGTTTGAATTGTACAGCTTTTCATTTGGTTAGTTAGTTGAGAACCCAATTCTACATATACTTGTAAAGAATTGATCAATAATGCAAGTGAGAATATTCACTATCACGTTCTTGCTCATTCTTCATCTTCTAAAATTTGTTATGGTATCAGAGCTATATCTAGCTTCCGATCATGGATGCTAATCATCATGCTACTTCTGAGGTCCACACAGACTCTGCGATTTCAGGAGGAGATGTTCAGGGTCCAACCTCCTGCTCGCAATCATCAATTTCACTAGAGAATCCTCCTGGTGGTCCTGCCATTCATGCTCAGACCAATTTCCGAGTCATGGACGATCCTAGCAATCCACACGACCTTCACTATGGCGAGAGTACTGATACACAACTCATTTTTGTCAACCTCTCTGATGAGAACTACTCCACTTGGAGCAGAGCAGTCACTATCGCCTTGAGTGAGAATAAAGAAGGTTCATCGATGACTCAATCTCTAAGCCAAATCTCAATAATCTATTATATGTTCCATGGAGAAGATGTGATCATGTGGTGTTTGCGTGGATAATCAATTTGATCCCCAAGGAACTTTATCCCAATGTTATTCATAAAGACTTAGCATGGGAAATCTGGCTTGAGCTTTAGGATAGATACAATCAAAGCAATGACACTCTAATTTATCAGCGGCGGAAATTTATTTCTTCGATCATACAAAACAATGGATCTCTTAGCTCTTACTTCAAGAGCTTGAAGGGGCTTTGGGAGGAATTAGCTCACTACAGGCCACAGCATCACAATCCCTATCACTCTTATGATCAGGTTATAGAATTCATGATGGGATTGGATATTCTTACACTGCTGTCAGAAGCCAAATCCTTCTCATGGATCCAATTCCTTCTCTAGATCGCATCTTTGCCTAGTTTCCCAGGAAGAAAAGAAAAGACAAGTGACATCTCTACATCAGAATGTGGAATCTGCTGCTTTTGCCAGTCATAGTGTTTTCGACCAGCAATAGCTCAATAAGAACACAAGCAGCAACAACTCTAGACAAATGAAGGACAGGCCTACTGCAGTTATTGCGTCCTCACTGGTCACAAGAAGGATAAATGCTATAAACTCCATGGATATCCTCCAGGACATCGTCTAGCTAAGAAGTTCCCTGAAAATGCATTTGCACATCAAGTTGTTGCATCAAACAGTTCTGAGATACTAAACAGTCCCAGCAATGTTACCATAACTCTTGATCAATGTCAACAGGTCATTACCATGCTAAGGCCTCAGATCGAAGCTTTCATACCTACATCTGTTGCCGCTTCAATCACCACTGCCTCTGTGAATCATGTTAGGGATTACAGGTTACACCAACACAGTCTCCAACAATGCCTTCTTTCTGCATCAACTTTTTCAGGTAGTAGCTTAGTATGTTCTGTTTACACATACAAAAAGAACACCTAGATAATTGATATTGGGGCAACAGATCACATTGTTTGTTCTGTCCAGCAACTCGCAACCATCACAGCTACTATTAATGGGAGTGTCAAATTACCTAATGGCCATGTTGCCGCAGTTACACAATACACACATAGGAACAGTTCGGTTGTCAAGTGATCATACTTTAATAAACGTTCTATGTGCTCCATGCTTTAAGTTTAATCTTATCTCTACCAGCAAATTGGTTTCCATTCATCATTGTTGCCTAACTTTCATATTTGCTTATTCCTTTATTCAGGAACTTTTGTCTTGGAAGACGATAGGGAAAATTGACGATGGCCTTTACCATTTACAACTTCAACCATCTCAACAACATCAAACTACACTATCCAGTACACCTAATTCTACTGTTAATGCTGTCTACAATCACTCCGACGACCTATGGCATAGTAGATTAGGTAATATTTCTAGCTCTAAAATTTCTATTATCAATAAAACTGTACCAGAAGTACTTAGTGAAACAAAATTTCATTGTACAATCTGTCAACTCGTTAAACATGTTTTACCTTTTTCTACTAGCACACATGTATCAAATACCATCTTTGAATTGATTCATGTCGATATATGGGGACCCTTTCACTAACCTTCCTTCCACTGATGTTTTCAAGTATTTTGTCACTATTGTAGATGAACTATATGGACATTTCTCATTAACAACAAATCTCAAACCAGGACCATCATCACAACCTTTTATAATCTGGTTCTTACCCAATTTGACACCAAAATAAAACAAATTCGGTAAGACAATGGACCAGAGTTCCACATAACAGATTTTTACCGATCCAAAGGCATCATTCACCAACTCAACTGTGTAGAAACCCCTCAACAAAATGGGATGATTGAACGAAAACACCAACACCTTAATGTGGCTAGATCTTTAATGTTTCAAGCCAATCTTCCAAATGAATTTTGGGGTGACTCTATCCTTATAGCCACATATATTATAAATAGAATTCCTTCCCCTAAACTCTCTAAAAAGACCCTTTACGAGCTCCTTCTAAAAACAAAGCCAACCTACTCTGACTTAAGGGTGTTTGGAGGCTTATTTTATGCATCCACGCTCAAACGAAACAGGACAAAACTTTACCCTAGAGCTGATGCTTGTATTTTTCTTGTCTACCCCAGTGGAATGAAAGCCTACAAATTCTTCAACCGGACCACTCAAACCTGCATCATATGAAGGAATGTGATTTTTCATGATTCTGTCTTTCCCTTCCATAGTATTCCACCACAGATTCCCACGATCAACAATCACTCACTTCTCTTCCTCAACAACAGCATCCCATCTCAGCATCCTCCAACATCTATTACACCAAACTTAGCTCTTTCTCCAGTTCCCACTATAGATTCTTATTAGGGCTGGACAAAACTCCCGAACCGAACCGACCGAACCCGAACCGAACAGAACCGAACCCGACGGTTCTTCTTAAATTAAATACCCGAACGGGTATTTGAATCAAGAACCGACGGGTATGATTCGGTTCTCGGTTCTAGGCCAAGACCCGAACAATCGAATAAGAACCGAATCTCCGTAATTTTTTTAATTAATTTATTTTAAATAAGTAAAATTATTTTTTTTCTAAATAAATTTGTTAGCTAGATAATTTAGTTCAAACCACAAAATATGATTTTCCTATTTCTAATATTCAGTTCAAAATCAATTTAATCAAATTGACCTCAATTTTATCCAAATCTGTTATTCTACTATAGTGTCATTTCTACCGAAAAAAATCGAATTAAAACTCTACAATATCTCTCTTAATTATTTTGAGCTCGCTATCTTTCTCTTTCTGTGATTTTAATAATCAAATTTATGAAGAATTCAATAAAGAGAGACGTGAAACACATAAGATTGAACTACGTTATTTTGTAAGAGCTAATATTAAATATATCATTAATTAAATTAACGTAACTTTGTATATATTAAAAAATTTAATTATAATACGGAATCGAACGGAACAACTCACCTACAGTGCCTCAGAGAGAATCTACATCTAGAGATGGCGAAAAAACCCATCAAACCAGATACTCGTGGCCCCACCCCGAACAGGGCGAGGATTACCTACTAAATCAAGTATTTAGGTCAAGTACGGGGCAGGGAATTTCATCCCAAGAAGGGTATGAGATGGATACGGGTAACAAGGGCTCCGAACCGAATGGAACCGAACCCGAACGGTTCC